CACAGATGTGTATTATTTAAATATGTAACTTACATATTTTGGAGTTACGCAGATGTGTATTATTTAAATATGTAACTTACATATTTTGGAGTTACACAGATGTGTATTATTTAACTATGTAACTTACATATTTTGGAGTTACACAGATGTGTATTATTTAAATATGTAACTAACATATTTTGGAGTTACACAGATGTGTATTATTTAAATATGTAACTTACATATTTTGGAGTTACGCAGATGTGTATTATTTAAATATGTAACTTACATATTTTGGAGTTACACAGATGTGTATTATTTAACTATGTAACTTACATATTTTGGAGTTACACAGATGTGTATTATTTAAATATGTAACTAACATATTTTGGAGTTACACAGATGTGTATTATTTAAATATGTAACTTACATATTTTGGAGTTACACAGATGTGTATATTATTTAAATATGTAACTTACATAAGTTGGAGTTATACAGATGTGTATTATTTAAATATGTAACTTACATATGTTGGAGTTACACAGACGTGTATTATTTAAATATGTAACTTACATATGTTGGAGTTACACAGATGTGTATTATTTAAATATGTAACTTACATATTTTGTAGGTTACCTGTAAATGCGTCAAATGACTTTAAAGTATGTATTAAAAAATCTGTTTAAATATACTGTGACCACAGAGCATTTAAGCATTTAACATATGTTTTGCACAGAATTGAAATAAAACATTTAAAAATAGATTCAGAGACATTAAAGAATCTTCTTTTATATTAAAATACAATCGCACAAACATAATTGAAAGATGTACCGTTAGTGTACTAAGAGAACCAAACTTACATATTAATTCTAAATTACAATTGTAACTTCTCATTGAACAGATACAAAAGGTAAACATCCTCAACTTATATAACCGCATGGGAGGTTTGGATTCACTTCTCTCTATCTTAATTATACAGAACCAATGTTTTAGTATGTATCACACGTACCTCACCAAGATCACGTAGAACAATACTTAATCAAGATCACGTAGAACAATATTTAACCAAGATCACGTAGAACAATACTTAATCAAGATCACGTAGAACAATACTTAATCAAGATCACGTAGAACAATACTTAATCAAGTTCACGTAGAACAATACTTAATCAAGATTACGTAGAACAATACTTAATCAAGATCACGTAGAACAATACTTAATCAAGTTCACGTAGAACAATACTTAATCAAGATTACGTAGAACAATACTTAATCAAGATCACGTAGAACAATACTTAATCAAGTTCACGTAGAACAATACTTAATCAAGATTACGTAGAACAATATTTAATCAAGATCACGTAGAACAATACTTAATCAAGATCACGTAGAACAATACTTAATCAAGTTCACGTAGAACAATACTTAATCAAGATTACGTAGAACAATACTTAATCAAGTTCACGTAGAACAATACTTAATCAAGTTCACGTAGAACAATACTTAATCAAGATTACGTAGAACAATACTTAATCAAGATCACGTAGAACAATATTTAACCAAGATCACGTAGAACAATACTTAATCAAGATCATACATAACAATACTTAATCAAGATCACGTAGAACAATACTTAATCAGGATCACGTAGAACAATACTTAATCAAGGTCATACATAACAATAACTCGTCCAGATGTGTATGTATCATGTTCCTAAGTTTCTTAAACTCAGCAATAATATTGTACGATAATTCGTAATATGCCAAGTTTTCTAATTAATGTTTTTTTACTTCCACTAAACACATGTAATATATAAATTAACACGTTTAGGCTACTATAGTTCACACTGTGAAATAATAATTTAACATTTTAATAATAAAAATCTGAGTTACGTCACCTGCAGGGAAGAGGACAGTCACATTTGAATGTTCTATTCATCACACCCGCCAGAACGTCGTCCAAACAGCACACTAAAGTCAAAAACACATATCACGCAGAGGTATAAATGTTGTTTTAATCAAGGCTTGATTTAGTAAAGTAAACAAATTCAGTTGCATATCGGTACCGTTCAGTCAGGCTAATCTGTTTTCAACCTTATTTTAATATAATTTTCATGTTATAATCACAACCAAATCTGTTAACAAAAATATTTATAATCGCGTAGTAAATCAGACGTCGTGAAAAACCTTTTAACATCTGAATGCTTCATTTTTTTTAAATATTCCCTCTTAATAACTTTCGTAGTGTTTACCTTACTCAAAAAGAAATATTTACTTTCACTAATTTCACAAGTTTTATGTAGACTGTAACAATGATTCAATTAGCTCGTTATCTAGACTGTAACAATGATTCAATTAGCTCGTTATGTAGACTGTAACAATGATTCAATTAGCTCGTTATCTAGACTGTAACAATGATTCAATTAGCTCGTTATGTAGACTGTAACAATGATTCAATTAGCTCGTTATGTAGACTGTAACAATGATTCAATTAGCTCGTTATCTAGACTGTAACAATGATCCAATTAGCTCGTTATGTAGACTGTAACAATGATTCAATTAGCTCGTTATGTAGACTGTAACAATGATTCAATTAGCTCGTTACCTAGACTGTAACAATGATTCAATTAGCTCGTTATGTAGACTGTAACAATGATTCAATTAGCTCGTTATCTAGACTGTAACAATGATTCAATTAGCTCGTTATGTAGGAGTGTGAAACTCAGTTGAATAACACATCATCTAACTGGGCTAATAAAACACAGATGTAGCAGTGTTCAACTGAGTTGAATAACAGATCATCTAACTGGGCTAATAAAACACAGATGTAGCAGTGTTTAACTGAGTTGAATAACAGATCATCTAACTGGGCTAATAAAACACAGATGTAGCAGTGTTCAACTGAGTTGAATAACATATCATCTAACTGGGCTAATAAAACACAGATGTAGCAGTGTTCAACTGGGTTGAATAACATATCATCTAACTGGGCTAATAAAACACAGATGTAGCAGTGTTCAACTGGGTTGAATAACAGATCATCTAACTGGGCTAATAAAACACAGATGTAGCAGTGTTCAGTTGGTTGTTTAAACTTATCCGGATTTTGTATTGCGACATAGCAAATTCTATTTTTTTAATGTTTATGGTTGTGTTTATCGTTCATTTATTATTTCCTTCTATCATTTAATTTATCTATAATGTGTAGTTACATTAAAACGCTAACTCACCTGCTGGCTAATCATTTGTATTTTGAGTAAATATGCGTGTATGTGACAAACTATCTGAATTGTTCTTCAAATAAAACAATATACATTTCCTTGTTGACTAGCTATCATACTGTTGACTAGCTATCATACTGTTGACTAGCTGTCATACTGTTGACTAGCTGTCATACTGTTGACTAGCTATCATACTGTTGACTAGCTATCATACTGTTGACTAGCTATCAT